AGAGATCCGTAAGCTTACTTCCTCGACGCTGGAGTGTTGTATAAGCTAACCTGGAGCAGATGTTCGAACCGCATCCCCTCCACAGGCGTGCATATGCGGATTATTCGATTGAATGGTCCGCGTATCTGAGTGACCTTCTGGGTGAAGAGGAAGACGCCCCGTGGGAAAAAGCTGCGCTTCTCTGGAAATGGGGCAAAGAAGGTGGCGAGGAGGACGAATCCTACAAGAAGGGCGAGGTTGCAAGCGACAGTGGCCACCACAAGCGATCGAACATTACCGACCTTGACAAGCGCGAACTCGACTATGGTCTCGCCCTTTACTGCGTCGAATGTGGCTTTGGCGGTTCGGCTAACATCTGGGGAGAAATGAGTGGAGGGGTCACGATTTTCCCGCCCTTCTTCGAAATCGATACGGTCCAGTGTGGGTTTGATGCGACGTTCAAGGCCGGACTCTACCTCGGCATGGAGGCCTTCGTCAAGTACGAGAAGGAGTGGGAGAAAGAGCTGGCCCGAATCCCCCTCGGTGGTTTCGTCATCGCTGGGTTCGTTGATGTTGGGCCTTTCATCAGCTTGGGAGTGGAAGCTAAAGTCGAAATCGGAGCGACGGGCGAACTACTCATCGGCGCTGGCATTGAGTGGGACAACATCGACATCATGCTCGACTTGCTTGACTCCAAGAACAGCCATACCAATGGCCTTGTTCCCAAATTCGTCCACAAGGCTGAGGCCAACGGTGAGCTGTCGATGGAAGCTTCGTTGGGCCTGCCTATCAAGTTGGGCATTGGTGTCGATATCTTCGATGGCTTTTGGCAGGCCGACGCTGCCGTTGTGGACACGCCCTCCGTTGTCCTCGAAGGATTTTTCGAGGTGTCCGCTGAAGTCACCAAGGACGGCGAAATCGAGTACGACATCAATGGCGGCTGCTACGGGATTGCTTGGAACATCCATTTCGAAAACACTCTCCAGGCTGTCCTAGAGGCAGACCTTATTGGCTCATGGGATATCGATCTCATCGAGCCCCAGAAGAGCGAGCCCATCTTCGAAGGCTGCATTGGCTATGTCAACGATGGCACAGACAACAATGAGGAATCCAATCTAGGCACTGGAAGCAGTGGTGGAGCTACAGGCAACGGTATGAATAGCGATGCCAATGGTATGTCTGGTGGCAACCATGGCAAAGCAAGAGTCATTCCCAGCTCCTCCGTGAAAAGTTCGACCAGTGCAGCCGCGAGCTCATCAAGCTCGAGCTCGAGTAGCATAGCCGCCAGCACCAGCAAGGTGTCCAGCAGCAGCGCCACCTCGACCAGAGTGTCTACTTCGACAAGAGCCTCTTCTAGCAGCACCCGGGCCATCAGCACCGCCAAGATTTCTTCTTCTTCTACCAAGCCGAATTCATCTACCGCCAAAACAACTCTGAAGACCAGTGCTAAGCCTACTTCTACCGCAACGACTACTCTGAAGACCATTGCTATGCCTACTTCTACTGCTAAGGCTAGTTCTACCAAAAAGGTCACTTCAACTACGAAGCCTACTAGCACTAAGAAGGCCACCTCAACTGCAAAGCTTACTAGCACTAAAAAGGCTACTACAACCGCGAAACCTACTAGCACTAAGAAAGCCACCTCTACAAAGAAGGCAACCTCTACCAGGAGACGATAGTTCTTCGGCTCTTGCAGGGCAAGTTTGCGACCATAAATTTCATTGTGTACATATTTATCATCGTTTTCGCAGGGAATCTGCCATGTATAAACCCAGATCTGAAGGATCATAGGAGCGGGCTAATGTTGAGCCGAACGCTCATACCTATTTGGCTCTTACAGCTACTTTCCATATGTTACTGATCAATTAACTTGATCTCCGAATATCTACTTTGCAAGCTCGTTTTCTCCTCCGTAGTAAATACTTAATACATCAAAACCCGTCATCGTTCGGTGTGCCACATGTTTGGAAAGCGTAGAGCGAGTGGTGTAGGGTAGAACACCGATGTGCACCTACTTGGTTGTAAAGACATTATGTATGGGACTTCGATGCGCTTGCTGCCTCTGCTTGCCGTGGATGGTCTACTAGATGCAGCAGTTGCGGGAGGAGTAAAGTGACCCGAAGCAACAGGAACGGTTCTACACCTGCGTGGCGTTTGCACGCAGGCCTTGAGTTGACGTAGGCCGAATTAGCGCGTGCATTTAAGCCCCACCCGGAGCTTGTTTGACTAGCGTAACGGGCGCGTCGGATCGCTGATCGCCAGGGCAGACCCAAGTCAGCGCCTTTCACATGCCAGACGTGCCCATTACATCAGTGCGGGTCCACCTGCAACAACACAACTTGAAAATGGACGCATTCCGCTGCTGCGAGGCACGTTTCAGTGGTTTCTCACTGTTAGATTTCCCTCCCAAATCATACGAGCCCACGCCCTCCATCGGCCACAATGGGGCTCCGAAGTTTTCTCCAGTATCTCATCCAGAGTCCTATACTCTTCCTCTACCAGCTTATCCAATGGGCTCTAGACAAGGTTCTATCACCAACGCCACCTCCACCGCAAGCAGAATTGAAGAGACCCAAGATCGCTGTCATTGGAGCTGGTCTCACCGGCGTATCCGCCGCGTCCCATATTGTAGGGCATGGCTTTGATTGCCGCATATTCGAAGCAGGGCCGAAGGACAATCTGGGTGGAATTTGGAGTGTAAACATTCACTCATCTACTATCACCATGATCGTAAGGCTAATCTTTCTATAGAGAGTCAACAACACATCAGGATTGCAGATCCACAGCCTCATGTACAGATTTCATCCCAGTGTCCAATGGAAAAAAGGCTACCCGGACCGAAAACAGATCGTCTCGCAAATCACAGATCTCTGGCACCGCTACGGTCTCGAAGACAAGACTACCTTTAACACGCGGATCGAAAAAGTATACAAAGATCCGCACGGCCGGTGGATCTTGAACGATCCCTCCCTCGGTCGCTTTGACGGCATCATAGCCGCAGTTGGAACATGCGGCGACGCGAAGATGCCTACGCTACCAGGCCAGGAACACTTCAAGGGCGAAATTTGGCACTCCTCGCAGCTCGACGGCAAATCCGCGAAGGGCAAGACCGTCGCCATCATCGGCGGGGGCGCCTCCGCCGTTGAAGCCCTCGAATTCGTCGCCCAATCCGAAGCAGCCCACTCGTACGTCCTCGCGCGCAGTGAAAAATGGATAATTCCGCGCAACCCGCTCATCAACGGGCTCCTCGCCATGAATGTCCTCGGCAGCGAAACAATCTTCTCCTGGATTCCTGAGAACATCCTTCGCCTCTTCTTCTACCGCGACCTCTATGACATCTCGCCCCCGCGCAACAGTGGCAAAGGCCTCTTCACAGAGACCCCCATGGTCAACGACGACGTCCTCGATCTCGTTCGTAGCGGCAAAGCGTCCTGGCTCCGCGGCGACATCCTCGGCTACGATACGTCCGGGCGCGGCATCAACTTCAACAAACGCAGCCAAGGCGTGCCTAAGAACGGGCCCGGCACAGAAAAGCTCATCGAAGCCGACATCGTCATCATGGCGACGGGCTACAAGCGGCCCACGCTCAACTTCCTACCTAGCGAAGTCTTCGCAGACCCCTACGCCCCGCCGAATTGGTACCTGCAGGTCTTTCCGCCGGACTATCCAGAATTATGCTGCAACAACTGCACGTACGTCAACGCCATTGGCACTGTCGGAAACTACCACATCGGCATTTACACGCGCTTCCTGCTGATGTACCTGGTCGACCCACTCGCGCGACCGCGCACGGCGTGGATGAAGCGCTGGATCGACATGACGCGGTTCATCAAATCGAAGGCACCCGGCGGCGCATTCGAGTTCTTCACGTACAGCGAGCTGATATACTGGTTCGTCTTCACCATTGCGATTAACCCGTTTCGCTGGAAGTGGGCGCTGTTTGTGCTGTGTGGGATCGGGAAGGATTTGCCGCTGAAGGTGGTGGAGAACGAGGATAGGGTGAGGAATGGGATGGGGATGAGCAATGTGTGGGATGATGTGAAGGGTGGGGAGGCGAGGTGGATTGGCGGAAAGAGTAATGGGGAGTGAGTAATTTGGTTGGTGATATTGGAGTTGCACATACTGAACAGCATGTGCACACAATAAGCAGAGCTGAGTGCCTGATAGCCTAAAGTAGTCTAATAGTTTTGGGGAAAGTTAGTAGAGCAGAGGCATACCTACGGGGCAATACCACGCATACCCCCTCAGCACCAACCTCGTCACCAGCGCAGCATCCTACACGCGCCTCCTCGCCATCATCATCAACTCCAGGCGCGACCCGTCACAAACGCGCAACTCATCTTCCCAACAACAGCGCACGCAATCATCGTTACAATTCTTAGTTAACTTACTCGCTTTGCCGACGCCGGCCGCAAGACCTTATACGTTGGATTCTCCGTTGCAACTGATGAGATACTATACATTCGCGGCTTAGTAACAGCTCAGAACTTGGAAGACAGAGCGACCCGGGATGTTGTTACATCCACGGAAGGCAGAGCGTCTGCGTCTCAATAGCAAGTTGAAGCATGGAAGCAGCGTAAAAAGTAGGTAATCCAATTGGAACAGGTTGCGCGTCTTCTCCTTGTGAATGGTTCAACCCAGGGCATACGAAAGGGAGTTGAGGAATCATTCCCCATGGCCGACATTAGATGCGAATAGACCAACTCGGATGCATCTACATCCCTCCCTCCCTCTGCAATCCAGCAAACAAATGCAAGGAAAAGAGGATGTTTTGTTTTGTTTGGTATCTCCAGGGAACGCTACGATAACTTCCCTCCCACCTTTCTTTCTCTCAGCGGCTAATTGAAGTTGATTTTGTGTCTCCCATCCTTTTTGACATATGTGATACAGAACAGACCACCACCTCTCTTCCCTCAGGAGCAAATTCGGAATAAAAGTTAAGGCGCGCTCGCTGGGTGGTGGAAAAAATGACAAAGGTTGTCTGTCACCCCGTCCAGGATGCAAAAAGCAACTTTCAAGCCTGCCCACTATCAGAATCGAACTGATGACCTTATCATTTGCTTGTCGGCTACTAGTGATACGCTCTACCACTGAGCCAAGCGGGCTTTGAGTTGCGTTGAATGACTTTGAGATAAAAACTATTATATATATACAAGCAAATGTAGACGATGGCAAATCGTGGACGCAGTTTCCAGGATCCCTCCGTGCGCGGCTAAGAGTTGTCACTGTGGGGTCGCGCCGGAAGCGAGCGGATGACAGGCTTAGCTCCCAATGGCGGAGGAGGAAAACAAGCCCGATTTGTCCGCGAGCCCACAAGATGATGTCACCGTCCATGGCGTCGGATGTTTGCGTGAAGCTGCATGCGCGGGTCCCTGTGAAACTTGGATGCGGAGACCGCGTGACTGAGACAAGGATGGGATATAAGCGCGTGCTTGCCCGAGCCTCGCGCGTCATGTATTTGCGACTTCGATACTGCTGCCGCTGAGGCCTGGGCCAGACGGGCGACGACGACGCAATTGTTCTGCAGTCGGTAGATATAGCCAACTTCTTTCCATCTAAACAAACCGTACATCTACGATGTCGACAAAGGCCTCGACAACCGGCACAACCACGGGCTTCCTGTCCTTCAACTCCCGCCCGCCCCGCCTGTACATCACCTCCACGAGCGCGCACGCCCCCGAGTCCACGCTGCTCGCCTGGCAAGCCGAAGGCTTCGAAACGACGTACCTCCCCTTCCACGCCGCCCAACAAGCCGCCTACATCGCGACCCTCAAGAACCTGCACAAAGACCTCGCCCTCGGCGAGACCTACGCCATCCTCGCTTACGGCGACGCTGCTACCGCCGTGCTCAGGACCGCGCAGAAACCCCTCCCGCGATGCTGCGCCGTGCTCGCCTTCTACCCGGGCGTGCTGCCCAGTGCGGGCTTTAAGTTCCCGACCATGCTGCGCGTGCAGGTCCATGTGTCGGGGCAGCAGAAGAGTCCCCGGCCTGACATGTGCGATTGGCAGCTGTATCGCTATGAGAAGAGCAAGATTGGGTTCGCGGAGCCGGACGCGACGACGTATGAGCGTGTCGAGGCGGAGCTGGCGTTTAGTCGTGCGCTGGCGTGCGTGCGGAAGGCGTTCAAGACGGAGGCTGACATTGAGGGTGTAGCGCAGGCTGCGTGGAGTGCGAAGTATGAGGAGGAGGTTCCTGAGAGGGGGAGTATGGGCGTGGTGCAGGGGATGAGTCAGAATAGCGCGCACGTTACGATTGTGCCGACGCTGGAGGGCGGGGTGGGGAGGAAGAAGCTGGAGGAGTTTTACCGCGAGTTTTTCATTCCGAGTTTGGTGGAGGACTTTGAGATTAGGCTTGTGAGTAGGACGGTGGGAGTGGATCGCGTGGTGGATGAGATGGTGGTGAGCTTCACGCATTCGGACGATGTGGATTGGATATTGCCTGGGGTGCCGCCGACAAACAAGCGCGTCGAGATCGCAGTGGTCAGCATAGTCGCAGTGAGAGGCGGGAAATTGGTCAGTGAGCATATGTATTGGGACCAAGCCAGCGTGCTGGTGCAGGTTGGGCTGCTGGATCCGAACGTTGTGCCGAACAAGCTGAAGAGCCAGGGACTGAAGAAAATGCCCGTTGTAGGTGTGGAAGGTGCGCGGCAAGTCTTGGATGTGAAACAAGAGCGATACAACAAGCTGCTGAAAGAGCATGGACTTTTGAATGGTATGGTTGCATTGAATGTGAACGGTGAAAACGGGGCATGAGGTAAGCCGAGGTTTTTTAAGAGCTGCAGTATGTCGTGCAAGTAAACATGCGTCGCGCAAGTGTCTGAAGGCTGCCTATAGTAAGTCAGAGGTATTGAAGGTCGTGGGTATTTGACGGCTCGAGTTCCAGAGGACTTGTTGCCGGCCTGTTTAGCATCTTTTGTTTACCAGAGTAAATATCAAAGCTATTGTATTCTGTTCACTGAGAGGCAGTCATGCGAGGTTCTATCCAGGCGTCCAATGCTGTTTTACCAGGGCAGCCCTGCACAGTTTAGTGTACCGAGTTGCTTCGAGCTGTACGCACCCACACTTTCAGGTTCTCGACATAATGCGCACGCCCCTCTGAATCCTTTCGCCATGCTCGTATACCGTAGCCCCCGGATCGAAGCCGTCTGTACTGTGACGCAGCCATCTTATCGATTCCAGCGGGATGAGCCAGATTGCGAGCATCGCTCAGCCTACCCTTCTCGGATACCCGTTCCAAGTGGTCGGGGGCGAACACGATCTTTGCCGCTCGCCCATGCATGGCGGCGCGGGAATTAGAGGCGGCGTTGCTCTGACTGAGGCAGCCACTCATGTCCATGAGCCCGTGCCGACTGGGCGACTTCGGGTGCGGCTGGGCTGTTGTGCGCGTGTTAGACACCACTCGACGTGAGCGTTGCATGGCTCTCAGCCTCGACGTTGGACGAAGAGATTGCTGCCATATCGTTCGGCGTGCGTATCCCCAGCGTCAGCGCGTGGAGCGCAACACAGGCAAGGCGATCAGGGGGTTCGTGGTCTATTCGGGGGTTAAAATAGCAAGGCTAATCTGGTGAGCGGGAAATTGGGTGTTTGGGCGAATCGCAGCGGTTTGGTGCCTGGGCTTTCGTGAATGGCGAGATTGATGTGCGGGGTGGCACGGGCCACAAGACGCTGATTCGTTTGGCCGCTTGCTGGCTGCCGTCGTGGCCGCATTTCTCAGGCTGCTTTTCCCCTGCCGCCTCTCCGTTTGCTCTTTCACCACCTCCCGCCTCTCTCCGCCTGGCCCGTTATTCCTCACAACACCACGCGACCCGGCTGTCGTTCGCCCTTCGTTCATCGAGCGCGGCCCTCGCACACTCTTTACATTAATACCCACACTCCTTATGTTTAGTGCCTAGTGCCTAATCTGCGCCCACCGCGCATACACACAGTACATACGCCTACATTCCGCAACTCTTGGACCGCCACATTCCGCAAAGTCACCGGCCTCCCTGGAATCTCGCCAACCGCGCCTGTATATATCGACGTACGTCGTCTACTGCGCAATAATACACTAATCGTGCGCGCCTTCCCGATTCGATCCCGACCTTTGTTTGCTAGCAAGACAATCCCTTTGGAAACGACCGTCAGCGACTACTATTGGATCGAAACGCCGCATTTGCCAACATGGTGCACCAGCATGGAGCGCGGCACCTTGAGCGCCGCCAGCGCCATGATTTCTTTCAAGAGGAGGAAGAGGATGGCCCGGTTGAGGAGACTGTGTTCGTGACAATGCCTAACACCTTCGCGGCAACTGAACACGTAGTCATGAAAACCATGACCGAGAACAACCCCAAGAGCGCCGTCGGCGGCGCCGTGCAGCTGACGAGGACTCTCCTGCCACCTGCGGTTCGCACAAGACCATCAGAAGAGGAAGAAACTGAGAAAGCCACACCCACTGCATCGGCCAAGCACAGCAGCCGCACCGCCGAAGTGACCTCACACGCCAGCAGCCATGCCAGTCTGCACTCAACGTTGAAGATTGACACCGCTTCTTCGCCCGAGGTCACCGCGTCCTCCTTCATTGGCACTGTTGTAGCTGGCGTCACATCCGTGGCTGCTTCCGCCTCCGCCTCCGCCTCCGCCAGTTCATCCGCCGAAGCCGCGTCAAGTGGCATGTCTGGGGGCGCCAAGGCAGGCCTCGTGTTGGGAATTCTCGTCGGTATCGGAGCTCTTCTCGGTGCTATCCTCTTCTTCGCTCATCGCAAGAAGCGAGAGCGAGTTGCTACCGCCCAGCAGTCAGTGGACAACGAAAAGGCCACCTCCATGCGCAGCATGCCTCCGCCGCCGGTTGCAAAGGAGCCCACGGCACAGCCGAATGCGCCTCGCCTCAGCCTCCGACCCGTCACTGAGTTCGACCCAGCATTCCCGAACCGCAAGAGCGGTGCCAATCTGCTTGGTGCTGCCGCTGCTGGTGCTGCCGTTGCTGGAGCTGCCGCCGCCACTGGTAACCGCTCGCCCTCACCGTCCAGTCCAAGGGGTCCTTGGGAGAGACCCGGAGCTTCCAACGCCGCCAATCCTTTCCGTGACCCACAGGCACCCTCGAACAGCCCTCCGCAGGATCCCTTCAGCAACAATGCGGCAATCGAGACTCCCCGCGCTTCTGCTTCCGCTACCCCTCAAACCTTCAACGCGGAGTTCGGCAACCCTGCTCCTGCCATTGCAGCTGCGGAGAAAGCACCTGTTGCAGCTCCTCTACCGAAACCTCCCACCGTTAATACTGATAAAGTTCCCTCGAGCCCCGCCTGGACTGATGACCTTCCTGCTTCTCCGGGACCTGCTCCCTCCGGACCTCTGCCTGTCGCTGCTGCTGGTGGTGCACCTCCTGCTCCGAACAACGTCCACCGTATTCAGCTCGACTTTGTGCCCTCCATGGGCGATGAACTCGAACTCCGTGCAGGACAATTGGTACGCATGCTTCATGAGTATGACGATGGCTGGGCTCTGTGTGTCCGACTGGACCGCTCTCAGCAAGGTGTCGTCCCCCGCACATGCCTTTCCAAACACCCTGTCAAGCCCCGTCAAGGACCACCTCGCAACGGTCCTCCAGGACCGCCTCGCATGCAAGGGCCGCGGCCGAACGGTCCTGACGGAATTCCAATGGGCCACGCAGGTGTTCCTCAGCCGCGTCCTCTTTCGCCTGCCAACAATGGACGCTCGTCTCCTCACCCCCCTGCGATCTCTCCCGCCGGCAGTCGCATGTCTCCGGCTCCTCGCTCGATGAGCCCCGGGCCTCGTCAAATGCCACCTCCCCAGGGACGTGCCCGGTCGAATAGCAACGCCCCCTACGCCGGCCAGCCTCGGTCCATGTCTCCTGGCCCTTATGGCGGAGGACCTCAGATGGCTCCTCCACCACAGATGGGCCGACCGCGCGCCAACTCGGCGAGCCAGATTGCCCGCCGGCAGTCGCCGCCAGGCCCCAGTCCCATGAACCCCACCGTCAACCCCGACGCTCCTATGCAGATGCCGGTCCGGAAGCCCATTCCCGGCCAAGCATTGTAACGTCTTTCATGAGCAACGGTACGGTCATGGCATGTCACTTTCCTTTGTTTCCTTTCAATTCCCCTACTGT